CTTTAACTTAATAGTAGTAGAAGAAAAGTAAACGAACGTACTACTAGTAGTACTAGTAGTTATTAGTTAGTAGTATATATATATACACACACACACACACACACACACACACACACACACACACACACACACACACACACACACTAGTGTAAAAGCCCATCAAAAATGATGAGAAACCACTGGAAACCAAAACTATTTTGTATAAAACTGGCAATACACAAAAGAAGTAATTAAAAAGAAATATATAATATTCTTTTCCAGGAACATGCTACACATTGGTGTCTTTGGATAAAAGATGAAATATACGATGACCATGTGATTGCATACACACACCTGTTCTTCTGAGAAAAAGTTGTTCTCTTACCTACAGATAATTGATATCTTCAGTCTGTTTTAACATGGGCTTTTTCGTGATAATTTCCAAGCATAGATCTTACTAATTTTTGACTCGTTTTTCACAGGTGTTGATAGGGTGCGAATGCCCTTCTGTGTCTTCCTGGCTTTCCTATTTGCATCCTACCTAGCCTGATGTCATAGTGATGTGGTGTTACACACACAACACCATGCCTGATCTGGTCCGAGAAACTCCCTTCTTAACAGGCTTTTATATAGCAGTGCCAAAATTTAGGAGCTATTTACGCCTATGTTAGAAATTAAATTCAACTAAAATGGAAATGGACAATCAAAATAGAAAGTATTATAGGAGAAAAAGTGGAATTGGTCTCATGTAATTTACAAAATTCTGAGAAATCGAGCATGACCAACTGACACTTCTCTTTTATATATATTGATATATATATTGCCTAGATCACTAGTGAATCTTTCATATCCCAACTGACCTGAGGAGTCCTGGTTATGGGCAAAAGGTCATGTCAGTACCATTTAAGGCAGATGTATTTTGGTAGACATTTTATATCATGTTCTCTTTTCCCTCACTAATGGAATTTAGAATTTACAGGCAAGATTTCTGAATAAAATGTATTGACCCTCTTGTAAAAATTTCTGTACCTTTGAAAAAATTTCAATAAATCTTTTGGATCCTTTTTTGTAAATGCTACATTTTGTTAATTAAACCCCTGTTGAATTATTTTCATTTGCCAATATCAAATGTATTAGGTCTTCA